TTGTTATTAAGTAATAAACTGATCCCCCACTAGAATTACTATTCTGTCAGATTTTATTATGCATGTCAATGTTTGCACAATGTAATTTATTTGTAGCCAACCAATGTTTTGATAATTTTCAACTGATATTTACATGATTCTACTGGGCATAAAGTGGGTGATCAGTTTTCTATTGTTATTAAGTAACATACTGATCATCCCCTATAATTTCTACACTGTCAGATTTTATTATGCAAGCCAATGTTTACATAGTGAAAAGGATTTGCAGCCAGCCAATGACTGGTTAATTTTTCTACTGGACATAAGGTGGGGGATCAGATTTCTGTTGTTATTACGTAATAAATTGATCCCTCTTCGAATTACTATGTCAGATTTTATGATGCCATTCAATATTTTCACTAAAATTAATATTAACAAAACGATGAAAAAAAAAGATATTTTTTATATGAGCGTGTATAAGCTTTTTTTTTCGGGATATAAGTGAACGTGATTCTTTTACCACTTTTACTATTAACTGGAAATGGGAGTTTTCAGTTTACAAACGGGTAACAAATGGTTGATATGAACTTATTGAACAGTAATCAGGTATCCATCTTTCTAAACAAGAACTAATCTTATTCAATCAATCTTGTTTAGTAAAATTAAACAGACAACTATAGGCTTTAATATAAATCTCTTTCTATATATCTGAGATGAGGTATTATGATTACTTACATTATTTCTGTTATTCGGACAGTTATCCTCACCTTCATTGCCATATTCACAATCACCTGAAGAAGGCCGAAACGTTGTGAATATGACAATGAAGATGAGGATAACAGTCCGAATAATGTAAATAATGTAAGTAATCATAATACATCATCTCAGAGATCCAATCACCTGAAGAAGGCCGGTGCGTAGATCGGCCGAAACGTTTTGAATATGGCAATGGAGATGAGATAACAGTCCAAATAATTAAAATAATGTAAGTAATCATAATACTTCATCACAGAGATCCAATCATCTAAAGAAGGCCGGTGTATACAACGGCCGAAACGTTCTGAATATGGCAATTAAGATGAGGATAATAGTCCGAATAATGTAAATAATGTAAATAAAAGCTTATCTTTCTTGATCTTTGAATTGCGAGCTTTTCTTATTATTCTCGTATACAGTCTCACAACATAAAAAAATTGCTAATATACATCTTACTAAATGGGAAAAAGAAGAGGTATATTTCGGCCTGGTAGGTACATACTAGTGTAGATCATTTGATAAACCTATTAAGTTTTAGGCAGATAGGTAGAATCCTTTTCATATATTCATACACTCTCATTCGAACAGAATAAAATTCTCATTTAGAAGTAATTTGCAGTAATAAAGTTCGTATGTCGTCTTCATTTTCCTGGCTTAACTTCGCAAATTGAGGTCGAGGAAGAGAGCTTTCAACGTTTGAAACAGGGTCATTAGTGGCTAATCACTCTAGTGCACAACGTGCAGGTCCGTCCACAACAGTTGCAGGTGAATGGTTTGTTCAAAGGTTGTTAATTTTTTTTTAAGCGGTTCTCCCCCAAGCAATTCGGGAGTACCACTAGCAGGCAAGGGCTTACACAGAGTGAGAGCAAGAGTAAAGAGGTGTGTAAGAAGAATGGATAAATACAAAGACGGGGAATAAGATCAAAGCTTGTGTTGATCCCGATTTACATTGCATTTGAATAATTGAAGAATATAGCTATCATGGAAGCAAGTAAGAAGAAGGGAGTTCCACAGGCGAGAAGTGCGAGACATGAAACTATTGGAGTAGAAGAGACAGTTACATTTAACCATTTCGACAGTGAAAGAATGGGACTGAGATGCCAACCTAGTAGCACGCTTAAATTCATTCAGTTTGGGAACCAGCGAAGGTAGCTCGTCGGAGCAGTTACTGTGAAAGTATTTGGAGAAAAGACAGAGGGAAGTGACGGCAAGTCTGTGAGAAAATGACTGCAGATGAGATGCCAGATCAGGACCAATCACATTGCATATACGTCTCTGGATATTGTATAGGACCCTGAGACGAACAGCGGCGGCTCCAGACCATATATGTCAGCAGTATCCTATGTAAGGGCGAATAGTTGATGAATAGATTTGAAGGATGACTCCCCTTTTTTTATTCTCTTGTCCATCGTTAGCCTTGCATTCATTCTCGGAGGAAGAGACGTCTCGATAGACGATGGGTTTCCAGGTTTCCCAGTCTGACGATGACCCAAAATTGTGAAGTGTTTTCTTTTTCTTCAGAGAGTCTTCGGGGTGATCTGTTATAGGCTTCAGTGGATAGGTCACCATAAAGCACAATCTTGGACAGGGTTTGATCGTTTATTCATGTTTTGCTTAGCATAGCTGCATTTTTAATACCATTGTGTGTTTTTTATGTCAACGAGTACTCGTTGTCATTTTCGTATTGCTCGTTGTAGTAGAGACTTTGTAATTGTAGATACAACTATAGTAAAGCCGTTGAACAATACTGGTGTCAGACGCCTTCGAATATCACTCGCACTAATAATACTTGCTCAATAATATTTGCTCGAACAGTAATCCGTCTAGTAATCCGAATAGAGAAATAGCATAGAGAATAGAGTAGAGAATAGCGTTCCGTATAATAATAGTATAAGAATAGAGTAGGAATAGCAATCTGTATAGCATAGAGGATAGACTAGAAATGGAGATAGTTTGGACGTCACGCTACTTTCTACTTAAGCGTTTCCTCTATGGTCACGTGATCTACTTAATTCTATATTGGGATCGTCTGTGTTTTCTTAATTGCTACTTCTTCTATTTGCCGCGTCCCTTCAAGTACATTGACGAACATAGCTCTCCACGACTTTCTATCTCTTTTGGCTCTTAGTAGTTTTTTCTTTCTTTGGTAAGGTACCCTGTTCTGACATCCATTCACAGAAGCTCGTCAGATAAGTGGCTAACTGCCTTCCCCAATCTCCCTTGATCTCAATATGACCTGTCCGAGTTAAGTTTTCCAAAACCGCCTTCCTTATTATTTGTCCAAAGAATTTCAGCTATCTTTATCTCGTTTTGAGTATAAGTGTTCTTTACATTGTTATTTTCTTTAAGACTTTTTCTTGTTGCTTACTTGTTCCATTCATGGAATTTTCAGTATCCTTTCTGTAGATCCGAATTTCCGTTGTTGCTAGTTCTTTTCCCCCTCCTTATTGAAATTATCCAACATTTACTACCATATAAAACCATAGATGCCACATTATTCTTGCCAAACACAATACCACAAAATAAAAGTTTGCGAAGCTAATATCCATTTTAATACACTGCGAAAAAGAAGGGACCTATTTTGGACTATGAGGTATAAACTAGCCAAACTCATTTTATAATATGGTCTATCATATGTTCTATTCTAATATATACTTGTATAAAAGAGCCGAACTTTGAACAACCCTGGAAAACTCTGGGCTTTAATGATGTTGGGCTATGAAAATAATTTAAAATACAAAAATATAGAATTGTACAGCTTCACTTGCATTCATCTCGCACATCTCTTTCGCCATTAGCATTGGAAAAATAAACCTTGACCTTGATTTGCGCTCGCGGCTTGAATGAGTGGATTTTAGTTTAAAAAAAACAAAATCTAATAAAAAATTGAAAACTAGAAAATTAGTATTGTATACATGTATACATATATATATAAACATACACAAAATCACGCAAACACACACACACACACACACACACACACACACACACACACACACATATATATATATATATATATATATATATATATATAGGATTAGTACAACTATAATACAAATATAAAACTTGTAACTTAGTTGATTGATGTTATATTCAATATCTCGAGTCCAGTGTTCCGTAAACGGAATCTCTAGCAATCGCTCAGTTCACTCGTCAGAAGATACTGACAATTGACAGCATATTTTCACGTTTTTCACTTTTATATTGAGTTAAAAAATAATTTATGCACTTTCTTTGATGAAAGGTTGATTATTTTCTTTATTGCGTGCGTGTGAGGAGTGTGTGCATTCTCTTGCCCGCGCGCATGTTTGTAAGTGCGTACATGTAGAATATCGTGGTTATATATATATATATATATATATATATATATATATATATATATATATATATATATATATATATTTATTTATTTATTTATTCATTTAAGCATACCACCCTAAGTAAGGCGGGAAGCTACTAGCACGCAAGGGTTACAGAGAGTTGGAGCGAGAGCGAAGAGGAGTGATAGAGGAAAGGATGAAGAGAAGGATAGAGGATAGATCAGGGCATCTGGAGACGTCGATTGACATTACATTTGAATAGTTGGAAATTATAGCTAGCAGGGAAACAGGAAAAGATGAGGATAACAGACCGAATGATGTAAATAATGTAAATAATCATAATACCTCATTTCAGAGATATAGGCAGATCCTGTAGAAAGCCGGGGCGTACAATAGTCGAAACATTGTGAATACGGATAACAGTACGAATAATGTAAATAATCATAATATCTCATCTCAGAGATATAGACAGATATTAATATTTACACTTAAATTTGCTCAAAGAAAGTGAGACAGGCTTACTAACCAAGACACTCATACGGACAGACAAGACATGTACACTCTGTGGTACAAAAACAAGCGAGTACATTTTAATGAGTGAACACACAGGATGCCGGTAACGATTTACTTACCCGACTGAATAAATACATATATCTAATGTATATTTCTGAATTCTAGCGATCGATAACTGAACTGTGTTTTCTAACGTTCGCACACATACAGTTGTACTAAGTCTTATCATCTGATTTTTAAGTTTAAGCATTAGCATATTAAGCAGACAGAGTTGAATAAATACTTTGTATGTATTTATGTATTTCGGTAGAAATCTCTCGCTTATACATGTTTTATTTAAAATGATTGATAAGATACTTAAATCAATTTCTTGTGTACGAACGTTCAAACCTAGGGTGAGCAAGTGACGTGAGGATATACAGTAATATTAGTTACGGCCAGGTCATGTTGAAACACTAGTTCCCGTCCGAACTCCGAATTTAAGCAACGTTGAGCCCTATCGATACTCAGATGGGTAACCGCTAGGGAAGACCAAATACTCTAAGCTAAGCGACAAGCCTAGCAAGCTGCTGATGGATGCAATCTCTTTACTTACACTAACAGAAAACTCCGATATATGGGGCTGCTTCTGGATTGACAGGTCGCAAGACCTATTTGTCGTTAGGTGAGCAGTAGGTAAGAGACTGTATACGAAACGACCGAACAATCATTTGGGACAATTTCAATATAAGCTATATCCAAAAATGAAATCTCTTGTTTGCATAGAAAATCAGAATAAAAAAATCAATATAAATACCTTGTCAATGACTTTCATTTAAATTATTTCGGCGTACAAGGGGACCATTTAACCTTAAAAAAACCCTCTCAAAATAAGGGGTCGTCTAATACTCCAGATATAAAATGTGAACGTTAAATCCTGTGGTTTATGGTAAGTTGTTAGCAAAGGACATTTTTGACGGTAGGCTAAGCTCTACCTCACCTTCTTTCTTCGATGATGGTGAACAAAAAAACGACTGGATGTTTGTCTCAACAAGCCGTTTAAAGATTGCATTCGAGAACAGTGGAGCGAATGGATCCTCGTCGGAGAAAAGTCCTTCAGGCAACCGTGATAGCTTACCAAAAACACAGCACCCACTTATGAGTATTGTAGATTATGTTAGTTTTTTCATTAGAATTTCAGGGAAAAGTAAGTACATGCCTACTGAATTTATTAAATAAATTCAATACAATGCATTTTAAAATACGATTTGGAAGAAATCGTCTTGTACGGCGAATATAGCCTGAATACTAGATTTTAACTTCTTTTTTGGGGGGGGGTCGTCTTATACGCCCAGTCGCCTTGTACGCCAGTATGTGCGGTAAACATATATTAGAGAGGGATTGCTACCTAAGCACACAAGTATGAAATTGCATGATCTGGGGAACCAACAAGAAAAATAACATCGCAATATCCAGGGAAATCTCCTTTCCTGACAAACAGAAACAGCACAAACATGCTCAATATGTAAAAAGGAAAAATCGAAGAATATAACCGAATACAAAACAGCATCTTCACTGAATGCATGTATCAGAACGCGCGATAATATAGGACACTGAGTGTATAAGCCGAAAGCACTCGGAATTAACAAATTAGACGATTTCTACATGCACGATATTCCCACCAAAAATAATCTCATGTTCGAAACGTAAGAACACAATAAAAAGATTAACAAATGTACCTTTGTAAGTAATTTTCTTATATATATATATATATATATATATATATATATATATATATATATAATGAAAAACAATTTCATAATTAGAATTCCCAGCATCCCTCGTTTGAGGACAACGTAAAAATATCGAGTCCGATGAAGCCTTAAAGGACAAAACGTCACACAAAAACATCTTTCTAATTTATCATACTGCTTTCACTAAAAATTGTTCTTGATAAATAAAACTAATATCTATCCTATCTATCTATCTATCTATCTATCTATCTATCTATCCTATCTATCTATCCTATCCTATCTATCTATCCTATCTATCTATGTGTGTGTGTGTGTAGAATAGTGTAATACTGAAGAAATGTAACAACATCTCATAAATTGAAATCATTTTAGCAAAGAAACAACTTAGGTGGGCTGATTATGTTGTGAGAATGCATGAGCATAGGCTTACAAAAAAAGGTGTTGTCGGGACAACTACCATACTACAAGCGTTCAGTTGGACGTCCACTCTTACGCTACAAAGAGAAATTGAAATACAAATTGAAACGTTTCAACTTTGATCTGAAAACCTGGGAAGCCGAAGCACCAAATCGAAAGGGATGGCGTGAGTTACATTAAGTTAAAGGTTTTGAAGACAGTAGACTGAAGCACCGTGATCAGCTATGTCAAGCTCTGAAGCAGAGATGCCATCAACATCCTGCTTTAACAAATTTCATCTGTCACTGTGCCTTTGTCGACCGCAGCAAGACTGGGCAAATATGCCACTTAAGAAAGCATAAATCAAATATATTTTCCCTTGCCTGATTTTCTTCACAATAATGAATAAGTGTAAAACAAATGGCACAAAACAATGCTGACCCTCATTTATCTTTCACGATAGACAGTCCAACATATATATATCACCCCACCATATATATATATATATATATATATATATATATATGAGAATGGGAAGGATAAAAAAATCTACATACATCTACATATACTTGCACGTACATATAAATATATTTTTCCTCAGGTTTTATAAATACAGTTTTCCATGTTATGAAACATAGTTATGAGTATATATTAATGAATATATATAATATCCAACATCAATAACATATATATATATATCTATATATTTATACATTTTTTGTTTACATGGAAGATTTCCAAGCAACGACAAACTCGTGTATACGAGACGCTGGAAGCGAAAATACCAAAGGCTTCTCATACTTAATACTTCTCGTTTTCACTATCCGTGACGTCATGAGCTGCGGTACGATTTTCGCTTCCAGCGTTTCGTATACACGAGTTGTCGTTGCTTGTAAATCTTCCATATATATATATATATATATATATATATAAAGCGTTTCACTCCAAGCAAGGCGGGAGTGCCACTAGCAAGCAAGCGTTTACAGAGAGTGAAAATAACAGTAAAGAGGGGTGTTTGAGGAAAGAACAACGAGAAGGAAGAGGATGAAGATCAAAGCATCAGATGTCGATTGACGTTACATTTAAATTTTTAAATATTATAATTATCAGAGAAGCAAGTCAGACGAATGGAGTTCCACTGTCGGAAAGCGCGACAGAAGAAGCTGTTGAGTAAAAATGGCGGTTACTTTTAACTTGTGCGACAGTATAAACATATATATATATATATATATATATTTCATATCCGCTAAAAATAATGTTTGAAGCAAGAATAAAATATGTCGTATTAGAAATAAAATATATATATATATATATATATATATATATATATATATATATATATATATATATATGTGTGTGTGTGTGTGTGTGTGTGTGTGTGTGTGTGAGATAGTGAAGTATATTTTTATATATCAAGAACAATACTGGAAAAATGTATGAAAATTTGGAAATTTTTTTACGACGCGTTTCGTCCTTTAGGACTTCATCGGAATAAATTTGTTTTGTGGGTGCGACTACGGTGGTGTAATGAACAGAATTTACATTTACTTACGTGAATGGTATGAATCCTTCTCTTCTCTCCCCCATCTATGTGTAAATAACAGGATAGACCTGGTTCTATAGCCTTTAATGATAACTGATCTACCGCAGAAAGAATTGGTAACCTTCTACGGGAAAGTTACATGTTCGCCTAAGCCCTATATCACGCATGGCACATAATTGACTATCTCCAGTTATGGGTAAATAGCAGGACAGACCGTGTTCTATACCCTTGATGGCAACTGGTCTACTGCAAAATGAAATGGCAACCTACTGCGGGAAAAATCTGCCTCGTTAGTCATGTATCGAAAGATACATGATCGCCTAAGCGTGTATCACGCATGGCATATAACTGAATTACTTGTGCGACTACACATGTGAACGAACAAAGGATGCTTAGAATTTTTTGTTTATTTTTTGGTTTCAGCCAATTTTATTTAGATTCTTTTTTTTAGTAGATATTCTACAATATTAGAAGTTCTGACAGGCATGGTGAAATGTATTATAATTACCGCCTTAATTATAATTGATGTAGACACTAAAATTGAGGTAATATCTTAGGATACTTTCGGCCATCTGTTTCATTAGAGAAAATATTTATTTATTTATTATTATTATAAATCATTAATATATATTTATTATTATTTATTTTTCTGAAACTTTAAGTGACTAAATTGGAAAAAAGAAAAAACTAGCGCAAATATAAAATCGTCTTTCAAGTGAGAAAATAAATTTAATTTGTAAAATTAAAATCGAATTGCACTGAAAAACAACGGTAAAGAGTATTTCGTCGTCGTTCATGTTAAAAAAAAATATAATTCTTTCGCAAACGATATTTTCTATGATGACGGGTTCGCCGAAAGGTTCCTAAGTTATTTTGACCACTTTTTTAGTATTAAGATATTTATATGAGTTCTATTTAAGGCAGTACAAAATTTTGTAGTAAAATGTTATCATATATATATATATATATATATATATATACATACATAGATATAGATATATATACATATATACATATATATACATATATATATATATATATGTGTGTGTGTGTGTGTGTGTGTGTGTACTCTCGACTCTTCCGTCGAATTCGACGTATGAGGGTCAAGCAGGAACCGACACTCCGACACCAGCACATAAAATTTGATTATAATGGTGAAGGTTTTGTACAGAACCAACCACAATCCAAACCACTGACCATTACTAAACCGTGCCTCCTTATATATATATATATATATATATATAGATAGATAGATAGAGAGAGAGAGAGAGAGAGAGAGATTAGATAGATAGATTTACTTGGATTGTTGTGAGTTTGTGACCTTGGGTTTCACGCTATTTGTGATCGTCAGATATATGTTAGCTCTATCACGCATATTGAGCGCTTTCAATAAGTACCGCGCATATATAATATATAAATAATATATATAAAAAATGCATATATATATATATATATATATATATATATATATATATATATATATATATATATATATAATGATTTTCTAAGTGTAGCTTAGCAATGCCACAAGGCCGAAAGTGTGGGGCACCCAGTGAGGATTGAATGTGATTTTCAAATCGTAGCTTAGATATGGCAAAATGCCGAAAGTCTGGGCTTTGCAGTGAGAATCGGACACACTATTAAGTCGTAATTATTTTATTAGGTTGGTGCAAAAATAATTTCGTTTTTTGACGTTCCACTTTAAAAGATCATAACTCCTTTCATAATAAACTTTATTAATCGAAATAAGAACCATTAAAATCGACACATTTTTGCCAACGAGAAGCAAGTTTATTTATCCCATTAGCATAGAAATCCGGAGTTCTGGAAGCGATGAAGTCATTGAAGGCTGATTCGGCATCA